GTAAATATTATTTAATTATGGAAAATGCTGAATAATGCTGGGAATTTCATGAATCCTTGAATCGTTTTGAATTCTATTAATGAAACGTTGCTCCTGAATTTCCACTTCGACTTAAAGTTCTTCAACTAATTTAAGGCTAACCTGCAGCAAGGTTAAAGCCATCCTTTCCTTTCCCTTTGTCTGGGGTGTCTGTTTGGCTGTGTGTCTGAGTATGTTCAAAATAATTGTGTGTAATTAACTTGCCATTTGATTGAAATTATACCTCAGCACTAACGCACACACTCCCTGCCATCTGTGTGTGTGTGTGTGTTTCTAACTAAAGCAATTTGCATGCCATAAGTGGAGGGGGGTAGCTACTGTCAGCCATATTGAATTGTTTCACCCATTGGTCTCTCTGCCTGCCTGTCTGCTCCTTCGAGTTTTGCACCTCTCTCGACTGACTGTCAGGCAGGCAGGAGCTTTAATTAAAAATTCAACCCTCATACAAAATGGCAAGCACACACACACACATACAAGCTAAACGCATATGTATGTTTGGTTTGTGGGGGGAGGGGAGCAAAAACATTTTACAAGTTGAGCAAATTTGAAAAACAATTAAATGCCATGCGCGCAATTAAATACACAAAAGGTGGCAACAACAACATCTGCTGCTGCTCCTCAAGTGGCACACACACACATACACAAACACTCTCCACTTCAGCAAAAGGGGTGCCATGGGTGGCACTCTTATATACCGTTAATTAAGCAGCCTGTGAACCCCCAAAGCCACCCAGCCCAGAAATGGCGGTAGGGGGAAAAGACGCCAGAGTCTTCAGCTGGAGGGCGCTCAAACAGCCAGCAGGGGCAGCAGCAGTGGCAGCAGCAGTGGCAGCAACAACAGCCACATGAGAGAATCAGCAGAACAACAAACATGACACAAACAGACAAACAAAAGCTTTTGTGCCCGGGAAAAACACCAACGGCAAATCCATCAAAACCAACAGCCGTCAGGGATTGCCTCGGCTTGGGGTTTGGTCTTAGCTTCTGCTTCTGCTTCTTCTGCCACTCAGTTCTGCCAGCTAGACATCTCCCGCAAAATCCTCGAGAACCCTGCGAAACGGAAACCAAAAACCGCATGAAGAGCACACAAACAACTTTCATTCGATGCGGCCGTGTAAAAAGGATTTAATTATTTGCTCTAAGGATATATATCCACGCAGGCCATCAGGCAGAGAGAGACAGAGAGAGAGGGTGCTTGTACGGACTGTCTGCCCGAGTGTTTGCCGACAAATAGAGAAAAATATGTTTCACGTCCACTTTGCACGGACTCAACAAACAAAACCCAAACCAATGATTATTGCTGTTGTTTTTTTCTCTCTCTGTCAATCCCTTTTTTCCAATCCCATTCCTGATTCCCATTTCCCATACCCAGTTAAGCGGTAGTTTGTATTTTTAATTGTGAAATGAGCCCGAAGCAAAGTCCTAATCCCGGCCAGACTCAGACTCGGATTCAGATTCAGATTCAGCCTCCGCCGTGGGCCATGCAGCGGCCTACACCCCATGGAACCCCTCTCAGATGTCAAACGCAGGACTCGGCACAATTACAAGGGAGAAATCTCTCTCTCTCCCTCTCTGACTCTGTCTCTGCGGCCACGCCCCATATAAGAAAACTTCCCACGCGCCAAACTAACTGAGCTTCGGCCATAATTTGATTGTTTTGCCAGTGCCCTGGGAGCTGAAGGGTCTGGCAGTGCCAGACTGCGTCCAACTGTTGATTGTAGTGATTAACCAGCAAGGAGCTGTGATTGAGAGTTTTCCCCGAAATTATACAGTTCAACTTTTGCTCACTGCAAATTGCATGTTTTGACTTTTTGGGTGGGACTCTGACGACACGCGTCGAACGTCGATACACAACCCCCAGCACCAGCACCAGCACCAACCCCAACCCCAAGCCCTCCTGGGCAATTACGAGCGTGTACCTAAATGAGTATCTCCAGCAGCTGAGCCGACTTAGAGCAGTCACTTGGAAAGTTTCCGCACTCGCACTCGGACTGACCGCAGTCCAACTTACTTCTGGCCAGGGCCCCTAATGAAGTGCAAACCCAAAACAATTGAGCAAAGTTCCCCCCACCCCCCTCCCACAGCATTGGGTTCTACTTTTTGATGGTTTTTTTATGGCCCCGCTTGGCCATAGAAATTTGCGGTTGTGGAGGCCGCATCATATCTGAATTTTGAGCACACAATTTTGTCGTTCCTCTCTGGCTATCATCAAAAATTTAGCGACTCCAGGGGATGGGGGGGGGAATGGCGCGGAATGGGAGGCCTGGGAGTGGGCATTAAATAAATAATTTAGAGAGTCCCCAGCCCGGGCTGGCAGGTAAACGAAAATTGTTTCTTGATCATTTTAATGCACCCAAAGGGCCAGCCAGCCCCACCAAAAACAAAAAAAAAGAAAAGGAAAAAGTGAAAAAGTTTCTTTGCTCCGGAAGGAGATGGAGGTGGAGGTGGAAGGGAGGTGCACAGGCCCAACATTACGTGACGTGGAATCGGAATTGGGGTTAGATGGGGACACAGAAGTGCGACTGGGACTGGGACTGACACTGAGACCTTTGGCTCCCGTTTCGCTTTCATTAATATTAAAAGCTGTCGCCCCACAGGGCAGGGCATCATTTAAATAAAACCAATATTCGATAATAATTGTCACAGGACATGCAAAGGCATCAGCAGCAGGCAAAAGCAATTCGATAGCTTCATTTGCTGGCCACTGGCCGCTAGCTAATTGAAAATGTAATTAATGCACGCTTCGATTGGTCCTCCGTCCTGTGCTCTGCTGTCCTGTACTGTCCAAGGAGCACGCCTGGCATTTAGCACGGACCAGGGAACGCACTGGCCAACACTCGAGCGTGTTCCTCACGCTCACATGGCCTGAGCTCAGCCGTCACCCGATACACTTTCAATCGCCTCGCAAGCCGCCCAAGCTCGGCTCAGAAGAGCCTTCCCTAACCCAAAATAAAAAACAAAAAAAAAGAATAGGGAAGTCAAAGTGTGCGGCAAGTGTGAAAGATTCGACCATGTCCCAGAGCCAGACTCTCAACCGGGCCAAGAGAGGCCAAGACTGGCCGACAGGCCTATCAAATGTCACTGTCATAAAAGGAAAGTTGTTGTTGTTGCGTTGCTTTTATCTTTTTTATAGCCGTTTTATTTGAGTTTGGTTTTCCCAGCTCCGCGCTAATTAAATGTACGTACGAGTAGTATTTCCATTTGGAGCCAACAAATTAGTTTGCGGTCAGTTGAGTCTAGAGTTGAGCGTTTTATACTTTGTTTATAAGCCATAAACGGAACGACAATTGCTACAATTGCAGGCGGGTCCCACTCGTTTATAGTGGAAATTGTTTATGCGACTATCAAGAGACACCTTATGGCTCATAAACCCGGGGATAGAATAGCACAGAAGGTGGAGTCTACTATATATTGTTTAAAATGCAGACAACGTTGTCTAATTATTAATAGATTTGCCAGAGTGCGGCTGAGTGTGTTCGAAATTGAAAGTAGGAAGGCAGGAACCGCTCCATTGGAACTTGGCCAAGTCTGCAACCTGCCAGAAGATAACCCTACCTATCTAAGCATATATCTAAGGAAGGATTATCTATTGCTGTACATTGATATATGACAGACAGTTCATTGGTCTCTCGGCACTCCACAAACATTCATTTATCTAGCAAATCAAAATTTATGACTGGCGGGGGACACACACACAACTCACACAGACAGACACATCCCCCAACGCCAATAACAATTATAAGACATCCGACAAATTGTCTATAGCAGGGCGCTATTAATATGCGATTTAACAAATATTTAGCGAAAACACACGAACTGTGACTCGAATGGCAAATGAATCTCCAAAACCGAAACCAAAACCGAAATCAAAACGAAACGAAACGGCCGCTCGAATTTATTGTATTCGAAAGTCAAGAATTTTTACGAGCTTGGGAAAATAATAATTTTATGGCTAAAAATTGTAGCTGGAAGAGAGCCCCCAGCCACAGTCACAGTCCAGGCCAAAGCCACTACCCCTGTGCCCCCCTGGTTGCACGTGCATGAAATTAATGCCCCCCGGGTTTGTATATTTGTTATTAGCAGAATTTAAATTGCTCTTACCGATCGATTTCGAGCAGCGGAGGGGGTTTACGTACGCCACATACAATATACCTGGACATTGACATTTTTGGTTTCTGCATAAGTTTTTAGCAGCGCTTAATATGCCGTCGTTGTCGTCGTTGTCGATGGCTGGTTGTCGTCTGTTGTTGTCGGCTGTTGCCGTTGCCGTTGCCTTTGCTGCTGACGATGGCGATGATGGGGATGATGATGAAGACGAGTCGAGTCTACTCCTAGTTAGAAGACGGTCAGAGAGTCAGAGCCAGTCGCTGCATATTAATTTGATAACTTATATAGTTATATACATATATATATATATATATATATATATAGCTATATTTATTTTTGCACACGAAGTTTTCTTGTCTGTTGTGTTCGGTCCTGGCCTGGTCTGGTCTGGCCTGGTCTAGGCCTAGGCCACGACAATCTTGAGCATTTGTTTGGCCACAATATGGCCAGGCCGTGGCAGTTTTGACAACTTGACAGTCGTGCAGACAGTCAGACGGGGCCGGGGGGCGGCAGGCGGAAGAATCCGGACAAGACATGACAATGTCTGCCTTTGGCATTGGCCATGGCAATACCAATACCAATAGCAATAGCAATTGGCCAGAGCTCGGGCCACTTTGGCCATATCGTCTGGCTCATTTAATGGCCAGGCGTGTCAATTTAAAGCGACATTTATAACCAATTTGTAATCAATTCTAACAAACAGCTAACGCATGCCCCTACATACAACATACCTTACCTCTTGACTATGCCACACATTAGTGTCTCAATCCCGCCATACCTATACCATATATATGTACCTTTATTGTGCACCGTATTAATTTATTTATTTTCATTTGAAATAATTCTACTTGCAGCGGCCGCCAAGCTCATCGCTTTCCTATGGCGGAGCAATGAACGACGACGCCCGATCGCCGGGCGCTGGTAGTACACCGGGTCCCTTGTCACAGCAGCCACCTGTCCTAGATACATCAGACCCTGGTAAGTGTATTTGCTCGTATTCTATTCTATATTTGAGGGGTGTATCTTAATCACTGCCCATGGGCCATGGCTGTTAAATCGATCCAGATGATCGCCTTAATCCCTATTGAATGTGTTACACACTTCACTTCACGCCTCTTGAGGCTGTTGGACAGGTATTGGGCGCTCTCTCGTTTGATTATGTTGTTTGCCTCAGTTTCAAGTGCCGCCAAAGCTTTGAACATGCGCTCTAGCGTAATCGTACAACAACTTGACAAAAGAGCAACAGCAACAGCAACAACTTGAGCACTGGATCCGAAGACTACTCATAGGGACAGCCCTAAGATCGAGACGAGACGAGACCCTAGACTGCCTGTCTTCGTGGGGCACTGTGGTGCTGTGTGGTGCTCTGTGGAGCTCTGTGCTGCTCTGTGGAGCTCTCCAACTACACTCCAGTCCACTCTCCAGCAACGCCAACTTGAAAAGATTTTTATGTGTATTTTTTTAGTATTTCTTCCTCATATTTTTGTTGTTTTTGTTGCTTTTCAATATTTTTTTTCGAGTGCGACTGACTTTGCACTTGGCGCTTCTTTTTGAAGATTCAACGAGTGCACGAGGGGAGACTCTTCTGGCGGGGGTCAGGTGAATTATTTATGGTGATAGGCAAAAATAATATTATATATTTTTTCCCTCTTCTAGTGTGTGTGTGTGTGTGTGTGAGTGCGTTGTTTTCCCCTTTGTTTGTGGCGGCAACAAAAACAAAAGCCCTGGCCCAAAGCAGCACTCGAAAAAGACACTCTGGGGCCACTCGTCGTCTGCTCGTCTCCGCTCAGCTCCGCTCAGCTCTTCTCCAAAAGGCTGAGTGGGGGTCCAAGGTGATAATGCAGTTTCCACTGAGCACAGCAGTGTCATTGGGTGAGAGGCATGGCAGTGGAGGGGAACGCGGCTGGAGGCTCCGAGCTGGGACGAGGAGGAGGCGTTCCGAAGCCAATCCATTGACGTTGACGTCAAATTTTTGCTCGGACAAAACTTTAAAGCGAGCCGAACAGAGACGAAACTTTTATGAGTAAGCGTGTATCTGTATGTGTGTGTGTGTGTGTGTGTCTGGCTGTGTGGGCTCTGCTCTGACGCGCCATTTTGATTGATTTATCTACACGTCGCGACACGTCGCCTGACTTTGTAGACAAATTAAATTTTGGCATAGTTCAAGCAGTGCACTTTTGTCGCCCCATCCCTCCCCTCCCTCTCACCCACTCTCCATATCCCTCTCCCTGTTCGCTGCCAATGAAAATTATCTACAGTTGAATAATTTCAGCCAACGCGCAAAATTTTCATGTTAATTTTGTACATTTTGTTGCTGCTGCGGCGATAAGAAAATGGCAAGAAAACTTCTCTCTCTCTCTTTCTCTCTCTCTATCGCTTTGTCTCCCTTTCTCTCGCTCTCTGTCTAGCTAAATTTGCGGCGCGTATTTCGGGCGTAGCAAATAGATATTTTCCACATTTTAAGTAGACATGGCAACCGGGTTCTGCAGAGAGGGGAGTAGCAGAGTGGATGGAATGAAAGGAATGTGGTTAGCAAAGAATATTCCGAGCTGCAGAAATTCCACTGCAGAGTACACAGTGCCACAGTGCCACAGGGGTGAGAGAGAGAGAGTGAGAGAGCGAGAGTGGGGAGCGGGGATACTTCTCTGTCGTAATTTTATGCACGAATTCGTAAAATGTTATTCAAATGGAAAATGTGATTTTTATCAATTTTGACAGGAATTTCATGCCCCGACAAAGGAAAAACCTCACTGCACAAGGATGCGTGTCCTGCCTGGCCTGAAATTTCCCCGAATTGTATGTGAGAGGTCATGAGAGGTAGGGCAGGGCAGGGCAGTGCGATGAATAAGGAGCCAGAGAAAGAGTCCCTAAGTGGGTTTCAGCTGGCGGCGGTGGGGGAAAACTTCAATGTGAGATCTTTCTGGTCTTTAATTTTGTCCATAATTATACACACTCGTGGCTAGATAGATAGATGGCTAGCTATAAGCGAGGAGAGAGTGTGGGGCGTCAACCAAACGATAGATTTCCCTGTAAAAACCCCAGCTAGCTGACAGCCGCAGACCTCGGGAGTCCGCATAATTATATGGCACCCTCATCAACGGCAACGGGCAACAGGCAACTCTAAAACCCAACCACAACTCCGCAAGTTCTTCCATCACAGAGAGTTTCAATTAAAAAATATATCTATGTATATATTTTCGACTTGTCTCGACCTGACGATGATGATGATGAGCTAATGGCTGGCAGGGTCGCTCGGCCCGTCACACTTGACGGTAATGCCCTGCTAAAGACCCCTAAGACGGGTGTCGACTGTTATTGCATGTACAATGTGTACATATTTCGTTCACTCCACACAGCTCAATGTGTTTATTTGCACGGCGACTTGTCAAGTGTTGCGTTGCGGCGCTTAAATGCAAATCAAAACGAGATCAATTCGATGAAAAAATAGAATCGAAAATGAAAATAAACAAGAACAGCAGGCGGGCCGCAGCAGCAGCAACCCCTTGGCTGGGTTTTGTGATTCCGGCTACCCTCCGTCTGACATTGATTGAAAATGCTGCGTGACGTAAATTAACTTTCATGGCAGCGGGTCGCCGGGTGGCAATAGAGAGAGAGAGAGAGGGAGAAAGAGGGTGGGGGCTGGTCCCAGAAGTGCGTGTTATCCTTTCCTGTTCGGCAGTCGGCAATCGGCGACGCACGGAGTTCGTCAAGCCGCAAGACCCACACAATTGCCAATTGTTACAGTTTTAAAGCCGTGCCGGGAGCGGAGGGTTGCCGCCGTCCGAGAGGGATGGTGGATCTGTCCGTGTGGCAGCTTGTTTTTGTCATTGTGGCATTTAAATCCTCCTCCTCCTCTGCTGCTGCCGCTGCTGCTGCTGCTGACCTTACTTGGAGTGCACTTTTTCCAGCACTAAGGCGATTATCTGCCGTTGTTGCTCTTGTTATTTACATTGATGAAATGTGTTACAGCTACCACAACAACATCCACATCCCATCCACATTCAAATCGGAAAGGCAAAGGCAAAGGCAGCGGCAAAAGGAATACTCACTCGCTCGGGTAACAATAACAGGAAGCTCTAACTCTGTTTGTTATCTTGCCACGCACAATTAGACAATTTCCATTTGTTGCCCCAGGGCCGCCGCCCGTTGACAGTTTTTCTCAGGGATTTGGCTTGGGAGTTTTTCTTGGGCTGCGGCCATGTGAAAGCATTTCCCTCACTCCCATTCTTTTAGCTCGCTTTTAATTGTATTACTTTTGGGCTGGTTGGATGGGGCTGGGCTCTGTGAAAGGAAGTGAAAATTCTATGCACATTCCGCATGCAAATTCAAATTCCAAAAGAGAGACAGAGAGAGAGAGTGAGACACTGGGACCGATCACTCTTCAATTGAAGGCAGCTATCTGCATCTGCATTCCGCCCATTTGACCCCTCGAATAACCATCATCCATTCACACCTTGACAGCATCTGCCATGATATGGATCGCTGTTCCCACAACTTTTTAACTCTTTTGTCATAACGATGACACAATTTCCCAAACAGCCAAGCCAGCCACCAACGATGATCACAAAAAAATGAAATTAAAATTTTACGCATTAACAAAAATTGACAAAAAGCAAAAAGCAAAAAAACAAAACAAAAAAACTTTTGAATGGAAATCTCCTCCCCGGCTGGCAGAAATTGCCCATATCTGTTGTTGGGTATCTGGTCGAGCCCGAACCACCGAAATCCCCGCATAAAGAACACCAGCTGCTGCACGTATGATTGGGCCCAACCTAACTAACACCCGGGACTTGCTTTGGGTTTTATTCTGTACTGTTCTGGGACCACACCAATTTTAACAATCATAAAAATTGAAACAGAAATACGATGTTTCATAATGAGTAGCAGGCAATGGGAATGGGAACAGGAACCAGGGAAGGGAAGGGCAGCAGAAGCAGGCACCAGAGCTTATGTAACATTACGTCAAATAGCACAAAAGGCAATACATCTTCATCCCCTAAAAAAAAAACAAACGACAGGAGCAGGAGCAGGCGCAGGAGCAGGGCGCAGGCAGGACTCCTCTAGCGCTCGGCACTTCTTATTTTACAATGAAAATTTACGAACTGACTGTTGCTTTTTTTTTGTTTGGCTCTGCCTCTCGCTTGCGCTCGTTTGCGCTCGTTCACATTATCATATTTCTGGGCCCGACACGCCAATGAATAGAATGCGCATCGAATTTCCCAAGCTCGGGGATTGGGTTGGGTTTTTTCGACTACAGCAGCTTGCTCTCCATTTTTAGGGGGGTACGGTACGGTAAGGTAACCTTCACATCAACAGAATCATCAACACCAGAAGGAACAGCTTCGGTTGAGAGGATAGGACAGCAGTGGGGTGTGGAGAGCAGCGGAGGAAGTTGACAAACAAGCAACACCAACAGCGGCAACAAACGGCTCATTGATGCTGCCACACGGCGGAGGGTTGCGACTCCTGACAAACTGCACACTTCCTTTCCATATCTTTCTCTCTGTCTCTCTGGGCTGAGGGCGGCTCATCCTGACGCTGATGGCATGGGATGGAATCGTGTTTCATGGGTGGTCGCCTGGTCGCTGACTTTGCCTTGGAATTTGTCTAGTTATGGATCTGCAACACTGGCGGTTGAATAAATTGGACACAGTTGGACGATCACTTCAGCCACAAAGATGATAAGACACACGGAGCGAGAGAGAGATAGAGAGAGAGAGAGACAGGGATAGATCTTTCTGTTTTGTGATTATTTTTGATTTGTTTTTTAACCTCGATGCTCTATCATCTAGCATCGGCCATTCATTCGCTGCGAAACATTAAAAGTCATGTATTCTTGACTTTTATTATTCATTATTTTCGCATTCATTTTGGATTTTTCCTTTCCAACTGCAATTCGGAGAGACAGATAGAGATAGATGGTGGTCGGTCGGTTGGAGGGGGGTTAATAATCGGCGGGGTCTGTCTGGCGTGCCGTT